ACAGATAGAAGGATGAATATTTGTTTTGTGGTAAGAATGCATAAGAGAGAAAAAAAAAAAAAAGGAAGAATAATATATAAGCATGATAATAAATGTAAACAGGAAACAAAATTAAATAATAAACTTTTTATTTTTTTTATCTTTAATAAACGTTGCATATTAGTAGTGGTTTTTTGGCAACTGTTACAAATGTGTAATTTAGTAGAGGTTATTTAGAATCGCTACAAAATAACTGCTATAGAACATTTTTTTTTATATAGTGTATCATATTTAGTCATTTAAAATCAATTTTTTTAAACCATATTCAGCAGCACTAATCATATTTATTTTAGGCTAGGATATAGCTAGACCATTTCGACTTTGAACTTGCTAAATGAAGTTGATGGATCTTGCAGTGGTTTTGAATTTTCTAGGGATCAAATGAAAATACTGGAAAAATTATGTGCAATATATATTTTTCAAGAATTTTTTTTTTGGATTAAGGTGCATCTAGCATCTCAAGCTATTTTCTTAGGTACACTCAGTGTTTTAAAATAATTTTTTGTTCACCCATCCTCCTAAAGTAATTAAAATAGTATATCCATATCCTAGGTAAAAATGTTTTGTCTGACCGTTAACCCCATGATTCAGCAGGTGACCCTTCCCCCCCCCCCCCCAAAAAAAATCTCAATCCCTTATACCATAACTATGTTTCCCACAAACACCAACAAGAAAGACAGTAGTGATCCTAGCTCGTAGATTCGCGTTCTCTTTTGAAGTTTTGCAGCTTCATCCACTTTTCAATCTTCCTCGTGTAATCCCCCTCTCCCCATCGCTCTAGATCGATTACCATCACACCCGTGTTGAAATAACAAGCCCTCCGATCCGCAAACGTGAGCGACAGAGACCGGTTCGACCAGAACAACGGCGTGAAGTAGTAGGTGAAATTGGTATTGCAGTATTCCAGCATGGCAAGGACCAAATTGAAGTCGAACGGAGTTGCAGTGAGCCTGGTGATGTCGTCAATGAGGACCAAGTCGGAGTCCAAGTAGACGACTTTGCAAACAGACAGCGGTAGGAGGTTGGCGAGGTAGTTGCGGCCGTAGTTGAGAGGGCAATCCAATGCGGAGCATATGGAGGAGATGAGGCTGGAGATGGAGGTATCATTGAAGGGGTAGATTCCAAAACGGAGGTAAGGAAAGGAAGTGGGGAGAGTGTGGTTGAGGATGGAGGAGGAGGAAGGCTTGGAGGCAGCAGAGATGAAATGGAAGACAATGTTGCGGGACAAGAGGAGTATGAGAGTATGGAGAAGATGGCGGCCATGGAACCTCAAAAGGTCAACTTTGAGAATGGAGAGAAAGAGAGGGTCATTTTGAGTTGAGTCATGCGGTTAACGGTCAAACAAAACAGTTTTGTTGGCCTGGAATATAGGTGTGTAATTTTAATTATTTTAGAATACCGAGTATACTAAAAATTATTTTAGGATTCTAGACGCACATGAGAAAATAGTTCACAATGATGGGCATAGTGTAACCTTTTTTTTTTGTTACAAAATTTTTTTTTTGATATATGCACACGTATGAAATTGTGTGTGGTGGACAAAAAAAATTCTTTATGATCGCGTTGTTTAATATTGGTGTCAGTTTGAGAAAGTGAAGGAAAAGTGATTGATTGAAAAAAAAAAACATATAAATGACTAAATGATAAAATGATGTGATGGAGAGATATTAAAATGAAACCAAAATCTTTCTTGACAAAACAAAAATGTTCTTGATCTAAATGATTTTTAATGTAATATTAGTAAACAGTTTTCACCATATACTATTTAGTTTTTTAACTTTTTATAGTGTTTCGATAAAAATGCCATTATGCTCTTAATTAACGCCTATATGAAAGAACTATCAATTTTTTGACCTTATTTAACCGCTTTTTACAAATAAACCATCAATAACCCAATAACCCAAATTAACCAAATTAAAATTGGCATCCTATTATATGACGGTTATAACTGTTAAGTATGCCAATATAGCATCATCTTAGGCCAATTGTCACCCAAATACACAATTTTTATCATATAACTATCAAATATGTCTCCAAATATTTGACCATTATTGTACTAGTTTAGAGAAAATATGACGTCTCCAGGTTTGAAATATTAAAAAAAACATAACCGTTAAATATCACAAATCCTATGGTAGTGATAAGATGAGTCTAACCAAGAAACTTAAATCTATTACCTCAAGTATATTTGATATAAATAAAAATATTAATAATAATCATTAATAACAAGCCAAGGAAATATTAGTTGATTTAATTTCTTATTAAGTATACCAAAAAGAATCATACAAAACTTTTAGTTTCTCAATTTAGTCTAAATTTTCGTTACCATACTTGGTTAGTTTTATATTTTTGCCACAATTTTATTTTATCTTTTTGTCAAACAACGACCAGTGGAAGAGGAAGGAAAAAGAAAAAGAAAAAGGAAAGTCACACCACACATTATTTGTAAAAGATAGCCGTGAATGGCAGAACAGAGTCATTTATTACAACCATGCATATAGATCACTTCTAATTCTGAAATGAAATACATTAACTTCATAAAACGTGTTGCAGGAAAAAATGGAAGAAAGTTTCCAAATTTCAAATTTTCATTACCTTGCTAGGTCTGGGAGACTGATGTGCCTCTTTCACTTCCTCCTCACATTTGTGTTTGGTGCCCCTCAAATTTTCAGCTTCAGATATTGAAGGCTCCATCTGTTCATCAAATGACTCATTGTATATCAAGTAGACAGCTGTTTTCTTCACGGCGAATCTTTTCTCAAAAACTGCTTTCACTTCCACTTGGTCATTAGATTCTAAATTTGATATTATTTCTTTCACCTTTGCTTCTTCCAAGGATTTTAGCTTGTCTTCTGTGTAGAGCAAAGTAGTTGTCTTTGTATGATTTATAATCATTAAGCAAATTATACAAGATTCACATGCCTTGTTATCCAAATTACCCAAGGGGATATATACAAAACAAATGGCCATCCCTTTTAAATGATCATGACCATTAATTGGAGGTACTTTAAATTTTACAGATGCTCCTTCACCCTTGAATGATAGCCAATAGGGGTAATAGTCACCAGGGAGAATATAGTCATCACTATACTTCCTAAGAGTCAATCCCTGCACAGCATAAGCACAACCTCCGATTTAACTATATAACATGTACTTAGAAATCCCCTGTTTTTGAAGAAAAAGAATTCAATTAGAGAGAGAACCTGTGAAAGACTTTTTGAAAGTGAACAAAAGACTTGACAACTCTTTCCAATTTGAATTAAAAGGTGTCCCAAGCAATTTTTAGGAGCAGAGATGCCCATACAATTTGTGGTACACAAGGAATCACAAATATCCAATCCATCTTCCATTTGATGTAGATTTGGTGCACTACTAGGATTGATTGTAGGAGCATTTAGAGTTGTCAAAGATTCCATTTGCTTTATGTCTTCAAGATTTTCAATATTGGTACAACCAGAAAGAATGAGAGTTTTCAAGCATCTTAATCCACGAAAGCTTCCTGGGAGTCTACACAGGCCAACACAATTCTCCAAATCTAGATGATGAAGTTTATCAAGAAGCCCAATAGAATCATGTATCATGCACAAGCTTGGACAATCTTTGAGGATCAACTTTTCAAGATTTGGTAGTTTTGAAAAATCAGGTGTTTGTGTCAAGTCGTAAGAGTAACTAAGATTGAGGATTGTCAGCCTCTTCAATAACTACAACGGAAACATTTAATTTCAAAGGGGAATTAGACGACCATCATAAAAAAATAAATGTTAGTAATAAAATATGCGGAACTGAGATGTAAAATCCTTCATCTAAACCAAAAACCTAAGTGAAAACATGGTTTTCAATCAACTGAAAATTAACACATGAAGGGAAAATCAGAATCTCAACCACTTGACCTGGAAAAGTTAACATAAATTCAATATGATGGTGTAATGCCTACATCTATAGCTAGACATACAAAGAGAATGTGAATTAAACGAAAATCTAGCAGCTTTAATTTATTCTTCAATAGAGAGATCCATTCAGAAGCTATGGAAAAATCTCAATAAAGGTCTATCAGGAAGGCTGTGAAATATAAAATCCAAGAAAAATAGAGTAACATATTTACACGTCCCATATCCCTCTTTTATTCCATATCCATAAACTTTGAAGCCAATACCAACAAATTAAATTAACCAACCTTTTTGAGTCATATCCCTCTTTTATTCCATATCCATAAATTTTGAAGCTAATACCAACAAATTAAATTAAACGAGCTTTTTGAGTCATATACGGGAAAAAAATAACAAATAAAAATTACCATACCAATATATCACAAAAAAATATTCACCGTAGCGCCACAAATTTGAAGTATTTTGATAATTTTTCACAGAAACTAGGCTTTCTGTCATATTGCAGTTTGGCATTTTTTAAATTTTTCAATTTTTTTTTTTTTGTAGTTATGGCTCAAAAAGTGAACAAACTAAGTACTACATCTAGTCATTACTATAAGATCTAGTTACAGAGATTTAAATACTACATATGGTGATTTCATATGTTAAGGAGTTACTATCAAAGAGTGATTCAAATACACATGATTAATAAGAGTATTTTAGAAAGACAACATCTATTTATTATAAACAACTAACTCAACTAATTTTCTTAATATTTACAAATTAGTTATTTAACTCATATATTAAAAACAAAAAAATAGTGTTAATTTACATACCTGGGGTTCCCTCCACATTTGTGTGAGCTTGCTATATTGTAAGTCAATAGCAACTAATTTCTGTTGATAAAAGTCGCTAGGAATGTGTTTTACGGGAAAGCCCTGCCAGCAAAGCCATCTGAGAGCTCTACTGATGTATTCGTATTCTCCTCTAAGTCGTACATTTTCAAGTTGGAGTAGTCTGAGTTTCTTCATCTTCCTAAAAGCTTTTGTTTGAAACTGCTTTCTTTTAGTTTTTGACAACTTCGAAGATAGTCCTTCAATAGCGTTTGTTCCCTGCAGAAATCGAAGTGTGCAGTTGTGTTATTTGTTTGCCAAAAAGCGAAATAGCGACATACTTGTCATGATCATCAAGCTTATAGACATGTGACTACAAAATGATTTTAAAATGCATACAACAAGGGGAAAAACCAAGTGGTATATATGACCAATTTATTTATACTCATCTGCACTTCGTGCAATACATGTTAGCCCAAGAAGCATTGAATAATAGACATAGAAGTTCTTACCCTGCGTTTTAATAATACAGCTTGTGCATCCTTGTGAAACCATAACCTACTTCTCTTCCCAAGAGTTCGAGACTCTTCACGAATTATTTCTCGTCCCATATCTCGAAGCAAATTATGCATACCAAGCTTATTGTTCTCATCAATAGTCACAAGGCTTCGCTCCTCAAGGTTTTTTATTCCAGTTTTGGCAAAAAATCTACAACCATTTAATATTTGTGTCACATCATCTTTGTCCATCCCAATAAAGAAGCAAGATATATCAAGAAATATTTCTTTATCCGACAAATCACTTAAACTGTCAAAGCTTGTTTTTAGCTTCTTTTGTATCTTTTTCAAGGGAATTTTTTTAATTCTCTCCAATACACTCTCCCATTCCTCTGTTTCTCTAGCAAATAAATAGGAGCCAAATACTTTAAGAGCCAATGGAAGTCCTCCAGAGTACGCAACTACACGTCTTGAAAGTTCAATGAAATCTTCTTTAGGGCTTTTTTGTCTAAATGCATGCCAACTAAAGAGCTCAATAGATTCTCTTTCATCCAAATTCTTTACTAAATGAACAACACAATTGCTTTCACGGAGTAGATGTCGATCTCTAGTTGTGATGATTACTATACTCCCTTTACCAAACCAATCACGACTTCCAACTAAAGCATGTAGTTGGCTTGACTTATCCACACCATCAACTACAACCAATGCCTTTTTATGACGAAGTCTATCCCTCAATATGTTTATTCCTGATTCAATGCTATTTATCTTCATCTTTGTAGGCTTACATATATCAGAAAGAAGTTGGTTCTGTAAGCGCACTTTCCCCTCTCTTTGATTCCAAACTTTTCTGATCCTTGGAAGGTAACTTCTACCCTCAAACTTATGACCAATTTTATTATAAATGGCTTTGGCAATGGTTGTTTTGCCCACGCCCCCCATTCCCCATATCCCTACCATGACAACATCTTCAGATGGATGGTTTTGGAGCATTGTGATCACTTCTTGCATGCGATTATCCACTCCTACTGGGTGCTCAGCCACATATAAGTCTTTCTTGTCCAATATATCACGAACATCATCAACAATAGCTTTCACGTATCCACTCTCCTCCCTACGAATCATATAAGCATAATAGGGAATGAATATTTGATATATGAACATGTACCGTTACAAATAAAGAGAGTCAATATTTTATAGTAAACAAGTTGGAAGTCAAAAATGCAAAAATTACTTGGAAGGAAGCACAATTAATGATAACGTATGTATCATGTGCTTGCTTGATTTTTCTAGTAAGCCATGCATGATTATGAGAGGAGTATGCTAACCCTAATTATTTTCTAGCACTAATACCGGGTTTGATAAAATATTCAAGTAAAATGCAAGCAAGCAAAAGCGAATTATGTTTCAAATTAAAGAATGTGACAAGTGATATCCAAACAATGCACAAATAAAAAAAAACATATCAAGTGTTTCAATCAAAAGTAAACAAAGAGTAAAAAATCACCTGGAATTAAGTATGACGGTCCCTGCAATGGCCCCAACATCACGAAGGGCTGTCCTCCACTTGGAAACTTGACCTTTTGGTGGTGAAAATTTTTGTATAAGTTTTTTAAATGCTTTTCCAAAACTAGAAGTTTGACTACGAACTTCTGATGGAGCCACGTCATAAAACACGGGTAGAATCACCTGATAATCTGATTTATGAAGCTCCCTTATCAATGACAGTTCATCCAAACACCATTTAGATGCAGCGTATTTCCTAGAGAAGATGATGATTGCAATTTTTGAGCTTCCAATTGCCTGCAATAATTCTAGTTTGATATGATTTCCTCTAGGAAGTTCAACATCATCTTTGAAAACAAAGATGCCAGCATCACGTAGAGCTGAATTTATATGCGAAGTAAAAGTTGCCCGAGTGTCTTCACCTCTAAAACTCAAAAACACATCATACTTATAACCTGAAGGTTATCAAAAATAGAGAATACCGTTAAATTAAATTCCTATTTAAATTAGTAGAATTAAAATATCATTACAATATAAACATTTCTATAATTTATGATATATCATAATATGGATAATAATATTAATTATCATTGCTACACGCATGTTTGGCATGCACATGCATAAGAAAAACCATAACCTACTTCGCTTTAGAAGATTGTTTTGTGAACTTTGATGTATTATTCTTCTTCCCATGAGCTGCGACATATGATGCATTTTAAGTTTGTTGTTCTTGTCAATGGTTACAAGGCTCCGATCCACCAGGGCTCCTATCCCAATGCTAGCATTACATCCGTGGCCATCCAACTTTTGGATCACATCATCCTTGTCCTCCCCAATATGAAATAAAACTATATTTAGAAATATTTCTTTTCCATTACCATCTAAAGAGTCAAAGCTAAGCTTCAATTTCTTGAATATAGCAGGAGGTGGAATTATGCTTAGTTTCATCAACTCCCAGTCCCATTCCCATGATGATTGCCCATATAAACTAGAGCCAAGGACGTTAAGAGCTAGCGGTAGTCCCTCAGCATAAGCAACCATTCTTCTGCAAAGTTCCATGAATTTTCCTTCTGGGCTTGCTCGTTTAAATGCTTTTCTAATGAAAAGTTCAAGAGACGCATCATTGCTTAAAAGCTTCATGCTATGTATATCATCCACTCCAAAGGTCTTAAGTAAATGTAAATCCCTAGTTGTAATGATGATTTTACTCCCTTCACCTAACCATTCACGATTTCCACATAAAGCACGTAGTTGCTCCAAGTCATTCACATCATCAAGCACAACAAGTACTTTCCTGTGGCGAAGTCTTTCCTTCAACTTGAGGCTTCCTGATTCATTGCTATCCATTCTCATATTTTTCGCTTCACATATTCTTGAAACAAGTTGTTCTTGCAAATAAACTCTGCCTTTGCTCTCCCAAGCTTGCCTTACATTTGAAAAAAAACATGTACTTTCGAATTCATTCTGAATGCGGTCAAAAATGAGTTTGGCAGTAGTTGTTTTGCCAATACCCCCCGTTCCCCATATCCCAAGGGAGACAACATCTTTTGATTGATGCTTATGAAGCATCGTAATCACTTCTTGCACTTGAGAACGAACTCCAACTAGGCCTTCTGTGGCACACGAGTCTTTCGTATCCAATAGATAACGAACAAGCTTGACAATATTCTGAATATCCTCACTTTCATTCCTGGAATTATTAAGAAAGAACAGCGGATAAGGGAGAATTAATTAAGAAGCATTGATTAAATAAAGCAGAATAATGACATCAAGAGCAACACATATATTTCCATCAAGAAATTAAACACAATAGCGTGCGTTATCAATTTTATCATCTTCACACCTTCATAGAATTTGGATAATATAAGTCAATTCACAAAATCATATATCCATGTTAATCATACAGCAACATAAATTAAGTTTTCGTTATGCGTGTGCTGTATCTTAAAGTTGTTATCTTGTCAAAAGTTTCAACAATGACAAACCCATGATAAATAAATCACAACGTGGTACTAGACCATGTGCTTAGTTGACTGCTATGAGTTTTGACTTTAAAAGATTTACAGAAAATATATTAGGTATATAGATTGTTATAGCCTGTAACAAACACGCTTTATATAACAATTATTATTATTATTATTAAACCACAAAACATTCAGTTCCTCATGGGCGAACAGTCCACCTGACACATGATCAATTTTATGAATCCATGTCACCTTACCTTTTTTTCCCCTTGGATTGGTAGAGGCAAGCAATATCACAGTTATCTTTTAACAACTAATTGTTATAGATTGCAACAAGAAATTGTACTCCCCCGTCCCTCCCTTATCTCATGCAAAATTGAAAATAAATAAAACGTAGAACAAAAAGAAAAATTAATTACTTGGACTCGAAATTAGGCACAACAAGCCCACAAACGCTTCCAGCTTCACTGAGAGCTGTCATCCACCCCGACACTTCATTTTCATCGGGTGAAATTCTTTGAACAAGATCTTGAAATGCTTGTCCAAAACTACATTCTTGATTATGAACCTCCGACGGATTCACACCATAAAATATGGGAAGAACTACCTGATCACGTGATCTGTGAAACTCCATAATTTTTGTGAGTTCCCCAAGGCACCTTCTGGAACTAGCATAGTGCTTAGAAAAGATGATGATTGCCATATCAGAACCTTCAATAATGCTTTCAAATAGTTCAACTGAAATATCATCTTTGAGAATAGAAATTCCAGCTTTCCTTAGAGATGAATAGAGACGACAAGGAAAAGATTCTTGAGCGTCCTCGCCTTTACTAAAGCTCAAAAACACTTGATATTTATTGCCTACATGCACTTAAAATTACACAAACACATAAAAGGCTCTGTACAGGATAATATTCATTGTGAATATATTCAAGAGCAACAAGATATATAATTTATTGGTACTCAAACCCAAAAATATAATACTCATTCAATTCTTAATATAGGACCTAATTGTTAAGTTAATCTTGGTCCCAAATATATAGCCTATTTCATATATTTATCCATACTCTTTTTTATTAAAAAAAATGACTCTGATCGAAAAACATATCATAATTCTTATAATTAACTAACTTACCTAACTTCTTTAATTTAATTAAATTAGTTAAATAAGTCTTATATTAAAAACCGGAGGAATATATGTATTTTTTTTATTTTCGTTATTTTTCTTCTCTCTCTTTCTTCTCCCATCAAACTCTGTTGTAGAAGCAGTTGTGCAGTTCATTGAAAGACGTTCACACAGCATTTTGTCCCTAAGTGCAAAATCAAATTTCTAGCTCCCTTTAGCCAAATCCTGGGCTTTTTCTTTTCTAGGCCAGCTGTCTACGCCTTGGGCCTGAAAAGAAGAATCATATATATATATATATATATATATGGTTATATAGGGTTAATAAAATTTTTTATCCCTCAAATTTGCCCATATTTTGATTTTGCAAATTTTTTTATTTAAAATTTTTGCTCCTATAATTTAATAAAAATATAGATTATTTTGCCCTTTGAGGAATCAAAATCTATGATTTAAAACTTGAGTGACTAAAATCAAAATTCACGGAAATTGGAGAGATAAAAGATTATATTAACCCATATATATATATATATATATATAAAAATCAAAGAAGTAGCTTCTCTCCTTTACCTTTCCCCTCCTCTACCCCCTTATCACCATGGGATAATTCTTAATGATCGAGATTTAATATTTAAAAAATATTATTATTTTGGAAAAAAATTACAATTTTACTTAAAAAATAGGTATTATTATTACTGCAAAATTATTTCTGCGGTAATTCATGCTTATTTATGTATTTTTAAGTAAAATTATAATATTTTTTTGGGCCAAGATAATCATATTTTTTTAAAAATATTAAATCTGAGTCATTAACATTTAATCTAACGATAATAAAGGGGCAGAGGTAGAGCTGGCCCACTAGCCCGCCAAAAATGGCAGGCTCGGGTTGGCAAAATGCCAACCCGCCAAGGTGCGGGCTACTCCAACTCGCACCGTTTTCAGCCCGCTCCGCCGCGGGCTAGCCTGCTTCTTTTTTTTTTATATATATAATTTCTAATATATTATACAACATAATTGGAAGATTTTTACCCCCAAATTTCATATTTACATCTTCTCATCCATGTAATTGCATATGTAATACATACATAAAAGATCTACTTAATTAATTTGGATAAGAAAAATAGTCAAATTAATTATTTAGAAAAAAATATGTGTTAGTTTTTCTAAAATATCTTCTCAAATTATAAATTAATCCTCACATTATTTTATTATAACTTATTACTCAAGTTTAAAACTCCAAGTCCAATTTTAACATTACAAACTAAGCTCAAACTTATACAAATAATAATATTTTTTAAAAAAAGAAGTTAGGCGAGCTCGGGTTGGCAAAATGCCAGCCTGCTAAAGTGCGGGCTACTTCAGCCCGCAGCCGGCCTGTATCCGCACCGCCAGCCCGCATTCCCAGCTCTAGGCAGAGGGGGGGAGGAGTAGCAAAGACAAGTTAGGTCATATATTATATCCCTCTGCTTCTTTTTAATTGTCATTTGTATGAGAGAATTTTGATCATTTTTATTTGTCACTTGTACCATTTTTTATGCTTCATTTCAAATTTTGCCCCTATTAATTAATGGAAACACATGTAAAGGTGAAGAGCAAGGAAATGGGTGAGAAAAATATACAATTTAATAAGGATAAAAGTGAAAAATTTTATGTATTTAATAATTTACTTGGCTTATGAAAAACTTCTACAAGTAACAATTAAAAAGGACTAGAATGGTGTATTATATATGTCCTAAAAGCCCTATAACGGAAACAATGTTCATTTTTGGCCGAGGGGTAGGTTTTTTTTTTTTTCAAAAAAAGCCACTAATATGTGTGTGTATACACACAACTTTTTGGAGACTCAATTTGGTTCTAAATATAAAAATATAATCTATTTTTTCTTCACTATTTATCTATTTTATCCTTAAGCAATTTCTACATTAAAAGTTGCTATAAGAGTACACGATCAATAAAAGTATTTATAGAAAGATAACATTTATTTATGACAAATAATCAACATAAATAATTTTGTTAAAAAAAACATAAATAATTTTCTTAATATTAATAAATTACTTATCTACCTCTTAAGTAGAAGAGGTAGCATATTGGTAAGCCAATTATTTTCCTCAGGGAACCAAGACAATAGGCGATAGCAGAAGCAGAGATTGGCACTCCAACGGTTCCGTTTATTATATCAGTTAGATGATACTGGTAAAAAAATATAGAGGACCGAAAATTGAGAAAGAAGAAAGGGAGGTGGAATTAGGGTCATCTTCTAGCTCCCCTCTCTCTCACACCCATGAGATGAGCACTGTCGGAGAGCAGAGAAGGTGACAGAACGGAGAAGCAACAGGATGAGGCTTTTTGGGGGGGGGGGGTGTTTTGCGTTATAGGTACAAGGACCAGAGAAACACGGACCCTTTAAAGAATGTGGGATGCGGGCCAAGTAGCACGGAAAGAGCTTCAAAGGCGGATTCCTACATTTATAAGAAGTTGGGTTGACTAGACTGAGGAACAATATAACGATGAGAGACAGGGAAACGGATTAATCACGTGACAATGAGTTGGATCATTGAGTAACCCGTGACACGTGAGTGTCAGTCAAATAAAACAATTTAACACTCAAATTTAATTAGTTCCAGAAATTTTTTTAAGCGTTAAGGTGCCTCTCAAGTAGGCTAAAGTGTTTTATCATATAGAAATATTTTTTTAGACGTATCTAACATTCTAAAAATGTCTGTTAAAATGTATGTTGAATAAATATATATCAAACACTATAAAGTATTTTTTCAGTATGCTAGACATACCTAAAAAAATGTTTTTGGGTAGTGGACGAACTGTAAAATATTTTAAGTATTAGATGCACGTGAAAAATTATTTCAAACTGCTGGATACAACTTCTTTTTATTATTGGTCATCGCTTGTTTAAAGTATTGTTGTTTCAGAATTCAAACTTTAATTTATCACATCATGAAAGACTAGACCATTTCACCAAAACCAAACTTGTTGGTATTCTTAGTCATCACCTAAAAGGCTAAAATTATAAAAGGATGTGATTAAGAAAAATTGAAAAAAATTGCACTAATGTCTCACCCAAAAGAAATAAATACAGAAAAATACCTTGAAATCATTAAATTAATTTGAAGTACGAAGGACTTTATCAATTCCACTTGTTCAATTATTAAACTACCATCATCTTTTTTTTCAAATTATCAAATTTTTTTAGCAGTATGTTTTGGCAATAGAAAGAATAGTAGCTAACAACTTAAAGTGCAACAGTTAACAATTATGATGCTATGTATTAACAACACTTTTTCTCAATACACCATAGGGATTTCTAATCTCAATAACCTTTATCATATTCATTCATTTCCACCCATAACAAAATAACCCATTGACGAAATACTTAAAAACATAGTAGCAATTCATGACTCTACAATTATTTGAGTAGATTAAGTTCCTATGATTATTGATATGCTCTTGACTCGTCATTTAATTGATAAACATTCGTTTCACTTCTCAAATTATATAAAATTATAACCAAAATATATCATATAAATAAAATCAAAATGTATCATGTAAACATATTTAACTTGAAATCATGTGTGATTAGAATATGTAAATTGAAATGAGATTATATCATAAGTTTATATCAGATGTCTTGGCAGTATGTCATTGATAATTTAAAATGCAATAATGAACAACCACCACAACAGGTATGAACAATATTATATTCTTAGCATATCACGAAGTTTTTAACTACAACAACCTTCAGCATGTTTATTCTCTCCACCCAAAACAAGAAAGATTCTAATTGCAGCAGGGTGTGAAAATCTAATTAGAATATGTTTGGTACGAGGAGTTTGGAGAGAAAGAGACGAGAGTAGAGGGATTTTACTTCCCTCTTTTTGCATGGCATGATAAAAAGTTTAGGAGGTGAGGAAAAATTTTCTAAACTTTCCTTCCATTCTAACCCTCCCCTCCAGAAGTGGAAAGATTTGCTGATTTGGAAAGAAAGTATAATATTTTGTCTTGTTCTATTTTTATTATTCTAAAATTACCCGTCCTCTCCTTTTCTCCGTTACCTTTGTCCGAGTGCTTATTCTCACTGCTCACACTCTAACTCCATTACCCTCAACCTTCGACCATTGTCGGGAGAGATTAATAAATTTTTTTCTTTCCCCCCTTTTTGGGCCAAAAGGATGATATATAATCGATACAAAGATAGAGAGAGTTTCTTATGCTTCTAGCGTTTTAGAGTGTGTTTGGATTGATGTTGAGCAAAACTAACTTCTAGTCTAACTAACTTTTGTAACTGAAATTAGAATATTAAAAGTTATTTGGATGATTAATAGAAAAGTGAATTCAATTGTAAAATGACTTAAAAGAACATAGACTTTATTGAATAGTATTTTTGGATATTTTATGTTTTTAACGTGGTAATAGTTAAAACAATACCTAAAATTATTATGATGAAATAAAAATAGTTTATTTGTGAGATTATAAAATAAAAATATTTGCTATCGATAAAAATTTGAAAACACATTGTAGATAATTAATTAAATAGATATAATGGACAAATTAAAAAAATAATAAAT